ACACAGACATATGATGATTAATTTAATGAACTTGGTGTGCTTGTAGAACAGCTTTGTACAAAAAAGATTCTCCTTTTAGGAAAATCTACGGAAATTTCTTTTCGTCAACATTAACGATAAGGAGTTAGTGATCTGTGCCCTATGGAGGCGAATGTTTGGAGCTGTGAGAGCAGCAACCCAGTCACCCCTTCTCCGGGCTGTAACTGTAATTACACTAGCTGATGACAATAAGGAAGTAACAGCATGTGGACAATGCACCGTGAGAGACTGTGACAATCATTGTGTCTCAAATCAGGGCCATTCACCTCAGTTTAAACCCAATACTTATATTTATATATATTTAACTTATATTTAAAAGTGTACCCTTCAGCCGCCGTTCACTTCTCTGTTGATGCCGCCATGTTCTCAAATCGTTACCGGCATGCAATGAACCTCGGGATATGTTGGATGACGGAGGATGCACCCGATGGATCCTTTGTTGCCATGGAAAGGAGGACACATTTCTCGGTCGCATATGAAGGAGTCTTCGAAATGGGACAGCCTAGTCGCACCACTGTGACGCAATCAGCCTTCAAATGCAGCCTTCGAAATGGGACACACTGAATACCACTCGAGCACAAGCACACACACACACCATCTAAACCGCTTATCCTTCTGGGTCGAGGTGGGGTGCTGGAGCCTATCCCAGCTGTCATTGGAAGGCAGGATACACCCTGGATAGGTCACCAGTCCATCGCAGGGCAGACAGACATACACATGCACAATAGGGTCAATTTAGCATGTCCAACTAGGCTGACTGCATGTCTTTGGACCATGGGAGGAAACCGGAGAACCCAGAGGAAGCCCACGCAGACACAGGGAGAACATGCAAACTCCACACAGAAAGGACCCTGGTCACCTGGCCGGGAATTGAACCCAGGCCCTTCTTGCTGTGAGGCGACAGCGCTACCCACTGCGCCACCGTAACTTGGCTGAATAATAATGTACAGGGTGCAACTGCCCCCCATGGTCCTGCATAAGACATGCCGTCATGAAACCATCACGCTCATGCACATACAAAGTAAAAGGCAGTTCAGGTTGCAAAACCCCGGCACAGGAGCAGATGTCAGAGCTTATTTGAGCTCTTTCAATGCAGCTTCAGCTAAGTCAGATAACTGGACCCTGTCTCTGTCCTTGGGTGACCCTTTCCGCAAATCAAACAATGGCTGGGCAATATGAGCATAATCTTTGATCCAGTAATGTGAGTGAAGATCTGTTAACAATGCCAACAGCTCAGTTGTGTGCACTTCCGATTTTGGTGATGCAAGCATGACATCATCAATACACTGCACTAAAGTGGTTAGGATTGTTCACAGTGCAAGTGCTAGGAACCAGACGTCTAAAGAGTTTAATGTTGAAGCCACATCACAGAAAAAGATTACATTAAATGGATAATGGATATGCTGCCTGATGCCTGAGACACTGTTTTACGATAGGTTTGGAATAAGCTTCTGGAAAAATTTGCGGAATCCCCCTTTATTGGTTCCGTTTTACTTGTTTCCGTGTTTTTGATAAGGAGATGCTGTGCATTTAGGAATTTTACATCTTTTCATTGTTTTCATTTTTCTTGACTTGAAATCCATGTCTGTTTATTGCACTGATTGATCTGACTTCCAAACAGCATGCAAGTTTGGAACAACTTGTAATGTAATGAAGACAAGTGAGGATACACTAGCTGAAGAATGACACTAAAGACAGGTCAACTATTTCAAAATGACTGCAAGAATTTACATGAAAACATCTGTTTGAATTAAAACTATGAGGAATCATAAACACATAGACCTCCTTCATCCTCAACAGACAAATACACACCATTATAAATATAAGAGTACAACCCTGTTTGAAATGTGTTGCTGCTGTCAAATTCAAAATGTATTTTAAAAAACTATAACTCCACGTTTCAGAGGTTGCTAAAGTATATTTGGCGACTCACCACCCACATGTTGAAAAACTCAGAAGTGCGTCCTTCTATTGAGGAAAGTTACACTGTGATAATTATCGTTATCATTTTATTGCCCACCCCAACAGAACGTAAATTATGTCTCAGGATAAATGTTTGATTTAAAAACAAACAAACAAACCAAACATCTGCAGGACAAACAAAGCTCCTCAAAGGTAAAGGGAAGTGCTCTACCTCAGTACTTTTCTCAGTAGATAATGCTGTAAGTTACTTCTAATGTCATTACCGTTTTCCAGCTCTGTTCACAGCAACACTAACACCAAGTCTGAATTCTGAACATGTAGGAGTTCAACATGCAGCCTTTATTTAAATAGTTATTTTGCAAATGATGTTGAGGTGACAATAATATGGTATCCTGACTGTAGTAATATATAGTTTCGTGAATATTAGAAAAGAAATGAAAGAACCACATTTGGTTCCTTAAAGGACTCGGTTTAAAAGCAGGATTGTGAGTCTGAAGAACCTTTTAAAGATCTAAAGAACCTTCACATAAAGGTTCTTTACTAACTAAGGCTTTTTCTAGAAACTTTACATGGAGGCTGTTTGAACTTTGAAAGGATCTTCACATTCACACTTGTCCTTCACAAAACTGGTTTTCTAAAGAACCATCCATCGAAAGGCATCACTTGAAGAACCATTTTTGGCATATTTTTAAGAGTAGTTTTATGAATATAATCCTCATTTATGTAAACGTCCTCATATGAACTGTGACCGTCATCTGAATCACATCTGCAATTAGGTCTGCAGTAAAGTCTGAATTTGTACATACTGTATATTCTCCCTCATCTCCATTCTGCTCTCTTTAGATACCCTCATCTTACAGTAATGTGTGAACCAGTTCAGATAGATGGAGCTGGTTTGTTTGCTCTAACTCTGCACATTTAACACTTAAAGTGACCTGCTGAACTGCATCTCTTAGTGTTTCTGTTCTTCTGAATGCTACTTCCTCTTTACTACTTCTGCTTATTGGTGTTCTGTGGCTCTAAAATGTGTGGTGTCAGGGTGTGGACCTGACAAACTGCTGCTTTTTTGTTCTGAGAATTTAACAAGGCCAGTTTAACAACAAAACAATGTTAATGTGTATTGCTGATGTACAAAAACACAAATGTTCAGGTACTTATTAGCTTATTTTATATATTTATTATTATTGTTATTATTAGAGTTATGGGGCCTTCTAAGATGCTGATGCCCAGGGGCTCTCTAGAGCAATTTGCTGGCAAAGTGAACAATTTATTGGGCTCTGTTGTCAAAACATGCACTGAACAAAATGTAGGGATGTTGGTGATGCAACGGTTCTTCAGATTAATGGAGAACATGTTGTAGATGGTTCTATATGGAACCTTTTTGAAATGGGTTCTATGTAGCTCCAAAAATGGTTCTGCTATTGTTACAAGCTTTACACTGTAACAATTTACAAGATTTTCTGGCTTCTCAAGATTTCATTTGTTGCAGTGTCAGATTTATGCAGGCTAAAGATTCTCCACAGGGGGCGCTGTGACAACCAAACAGGGCTCTTCATGCTCTGTACAGTGTGAGAGACTGAAGAGAGTCTTAGGCCTCAGCAGCCTGTAGTTAATATGAGCACTGAGCTGTGTGTTCAGTACAGCAGTACAGCTCACTTATACTAAGTAGAGATTATGAGTGATTTATCACTAATTTATCACCACATATGTTGTTCAGACATCTAAATGATAATGATTACTGTTAATGAGTACTAATAAAACATAAAAAGTGTTCTGTGAAAAAAATTATGGCACCTTTAATGTTGTATTTTTCAGAAATTAGAAATTGTGCTTTTAAAATGAGCAGAACAGTGACATATTCAAACATGTTCTCTGTAGAGGGTGTGTTAACTTAATTTCACTTAGCAAATCACCAAACATGTCATCTGACCAGGTGTTCAAACTTTTGCATACAGCTGTAACATGAATACTTTATAATAACGTCATCTTAAGAAGTCTTCAGAAGTCATTTTTACATGGCTTGTTAACTCTTTATTAATGCTTAAAATCTGATTTACAAAGTATTTTAAACATATAAAGCAAATACAGTTACTTTACAGCAACAGCATGCAGTAATGAAGACAAGTGAGGATACACAAGCTGAAGAATGACACTAAAGACAGGTCAACTATTTCAAAATGACTGCAAGAATTTACATGAAAACATCTGTTTGAATTAAAACTCTTGAGAAGCAATAAGGAATCATAAACACATTGACCTCCTTCATCCTCAACAGACAAATACACACCATTATAAATATAAGAGTACAACCCTTTTTGAAATAAGTTGCTGGTGTCAAGTTCAAAATGGGTATGTATTTTAAAAAACAATAACATTTCTCAGTTTCAACATTTGATATGTTGTCTTTGTGTTATTATTAATTTAATACAGGGTTTAAATGATTTGCACATCATTGCATTTGGTTTTTATTTACATTTTGCACAGCGTCTCAACCTTTTTTGGAAACAGGGTTGTATAAACTACTATAAACTACTGAATCACCAACAGCAACAACAACTGCTCCAAATAATTTATAGTCAGTTTTTGAGCTGTGCAATGTCGGGACAGACAACCTTCGTAAAAAATGTCAAATGTCATCAAGAAGCTGAGAGCAAACTACGCACATCTAACTGCACTTTACAGTTAAAAGGTTAAAAGGCACTTTGAGAACACATGAATGGCAAATATATCAACACAGGAACATATTATTACACAGGAGAGAAGCTTCCTTTGATTCATATACTGAACACTGTCTGACTATGAAGTCACTGGAGAAACTTCATCTCACAGATCCAGTAATAAGGTTCATTACATGGTCTGTCGTACCAATTTCCTCCTCCAGAATATCTGTTTACAACACAGTCCTCACTGTCTGAAAATCCATTTCCACTGTCCCAGTACCTGAAACAACACATAGAAGGTCTATATGTATTGAACACATTGAGTAATGGAATAAAATGCTGAATGAAAGAATGTATAATAATTCAGTGATCTCTTACGCAGTGGTCAGTGCTGAACCGTCCACCCATTTCCAAACTGTTTCTTCATCACGTTCAGTCAGGCCAATAGAAACCCCAGCGTCTTTGCTCTTGCTGAGATTTTCTAAAAACTCCTGTTGAGGTGTCAGAAAGATGAGTGTCATTAGAGCCACATGGTACTACATGGTAACATCAACTGATTAAACTTGTTTAACGTACTTATTGAGTCATACTGGTCAGATGTGAATAATGATCACATTACAGCTTCAACTGGTGGTAATTACAAACATGAACACAGTGATTTACTTTAAAATTAGGATCCTCTACTCTTCAAATAGCCTGGATTCTTTATGAATCTAATGTGCTGGTTTGAAATCGATTAAACTCACTGTCTTCTACACAAGATCTTTTCTCTTCTGTTTATTATGTGTATATTGGCTTGTTGAAGTATCACTGGAAGCCATTATTGTTTAGTTGTTAATTGAAAATGCCTCCCTCCTCATACAGCCTCACTGACATTTGTTGGGAACGTAATTAATCAGAGCTGAAGCAGCGAGCTGGAAATGTGAAAAGGATCTATTACTGTATGTTTGCTACTTATTCACTTGTTCTTCTCTGCTGTTTATGATCACCAGGTCTGCTCCTTTGTCTCTGCAGTTTTGTCGTCCCTCATCCCAGGTTTTTTTCTCCGTAGAGATGTAATAAATACTGGACTGGAAAATCTTCCAAATCGGCTGCAGTTCTTTCACTATGAATTGAAAACATAAACACAGTCAGATACACTGTCACAGATATTGGAACCAAAACACCTCTGTTCTGTAATTTGTGTAATGAATGAGAGGCAGAAAACACACGCTGAGCAGCTTTGTTTGGGGGCTTCCAAGATTTATAGTCATAGCAGCCAGGATTCAGTACACAAGCCATTATAAATAAATAAACAAAAAATAAATTAAAATGGAGTGAAAATAACAATGAACACAGCTCAGATATGCACAGAAAAAAAACAAAACTTTGCGACATACAAAGCCAAAGAATGGAAACCTGTTTTGTTTTTGTCATGCGCATTAATTACTGCAGTGATATTCTCCTGCGACTTACAGTGAGCATACTTGCTATACAAACTGCAGACTAACCAAATATTTCAAGTTGTTTTCCTTTAAACACTGCATTTAATGCAAGTAGCATTTCAGTTCTGTGGACTTACAGTGTACAGGTTTCCAGTATAGTGGCCAGTGAGTGTAAATGTGAAACTTTACTCTTTTGTTTTTCTAAAGAAAGAATAAGTGATGGTTCTTATTCACTTACCCAGTTTAGTCACACTGGTGTAACTGGTCTGTAACTGGTCTCTCTCTACAGTCAGCGCGTTGTAACTGGTCTGTAACTGGTTTCTCTCTGCAGTCAGGGTGTCGAACTTGGTCTGTAACTGGTCTCTCTCTATGGTCAGCGTGTTGCAACTGGTCTGTAACTGGTTGTTCTCTACAGTCAGCATGTTGTAACTGGTCTGTAACTGGTTTCTCTCTATAGTCAGGTTGGTGTAACTGATCTGTAACTGGTCTTTCTCTGCAGTCAGGGTGTTGAACTTGGTCTGTAACTGATCTCTCCCTGTAGTCAGGTTGGTGTTTTTGGTCTGTAACTGGTCTCTCTCTGTAGTCAGGTTGGTGTAACTGATCTGTAACTGGTTATTCTCTACAGTCAGCATGTTGTAACTGGTCTGTAACTGGTCTCTCTCTGCAGTCAGTGTGTTGAAACTGGTCTGTAACTGGTCTCTCTCTGTAGTCAGCGTGTTGTAACTGGTCTGTAACTGGTTATTCTCTACAGTCAGCATGTTGTAACTGGTCTGTAACTGGTCTCTCTCTGCAGTCAGGGTGTTCAACTTGATCCACAGCACTATGATGGCAGTCAGCAGGAGAACACACAGCAGCCCCAGACACACTGCAGTCAGTCTGTAGTATCTGTAGCCTGCGGTGTTCGTTTCTGAAAATAGATATGTTCTTAATTATGTTCATGAATTATTTGTTCAGATACTTCCAGTTAGTTAAGAAATGTATATCTTTTTGGTCTGAAAATGATCTTCATAATATCTTCCATGTGGAAACCTCTTCATTTTTATTTATTTTACTCTGTGTGAAAGCGTCAGCTGTGCCAGCTTATATTGTATAAGCATTTC